TTGTCTCATTTTTCTACAGGTGGATATCCAGTTTTGCCAGCACCATTTGTTAAAGAGGCTGTCTCTTCCCCATTTAATGGGTTTTGGACCTTTGTCAAAGATCAGTTGTCCATAGATGGATGGGTCTATATCTGGACTTTCGATTCTGTTCCATTGGTCTATTTAATTATCATTGTACCAGTACCAAGCTGTTTTGGCTACTGTGGCTATATAGTAGTTCTTAAGATCTGGGAGTGTGAGACCTCCCACTTCGTTTTTCTTCTTGAGAAGTGCCTGCTTATCAGAGGTCTCTTTCCTTTCCATATGAAATTAGTAATTAGTTTTTCCATGTCCTTAAAAAATTTTGTTGAAATCTGGATCAGGATTGTGTTAAATGTATAGACATTAAATGTATAGACATTAGGTAATATTGACATTTTCATAATATTTACTCTACCTATCCGTGAACAAGGTAGGTTCTTCCATTTATGTAGTGCCCTTGTTGTCTCTGGTGAGGTTTATTCTTAGATATTTTATCTTTTTAGTAGCTATAGTAAATGGTATTGTTTCCCTTATTTCTTTATCAGAAGACTTTTTTGGTGTAGAGGAATCCAACTGATTTTTGTCAGTTGTCCTTGTATCTTGCCACTTTGTTGAACCTCTCTGTAGTTTCAGTAATTTTTTTTGTTGAGTCTCTGGGGTTTTCTATGTACAGGATCATGTTGTCTGCAAATAGAGATAGTTTTAGTTCCTCTTTGCCAATTGTATGCCTTTTATTTCTCTTTCTTGCCTTATTGCCCTGGCCAGGACTTCCAATACAATGTTAAGTAGAAGTGGTGATAGAGGGCATCCCTGATTTCCATTCATAAGGGGAATGCCTTGAGTCTTCTCCATTAATAATGATGTTGTCCATAGGCTTTGCATATACACCCTTTATTAAGTTGAGGAATTTCCCTTCTATCCCTATTTTGCTGAGAGTTCTGAACTGGAATGAATGTTGGGTTTTATCAAATGACTTTTCTGCATCGATTGATATAAACATATGGTTCTTTTCTTTTGTTTATGTGGTAGATTACATTGATTAATTTTCTGATGTTGAACCACCCTTGTAAACCTGGTATGAATCCCACTTGGTCCAGGTGTATTAATTTTTTTATATGTTGTTGAATTCTGTTGCCTAGGATTTTGTTAAAGATTTTTGCATCTGTGTTCATGAGGGATATTGGTCTGCAGTTTTCTTTTCTAGTGGTGTCTTTCCCTGGTTTTGGTAT